AGGATCTCCTACATAGATCCCCTTCCAAGTGGTTGACATTGATAGCTGGGCACCATCTAGTTCTTCTGGTCTCATAGTTGTATAGGCTGCAGATTGGATTTACCAGGGATAGTTTTAAATATGTTAGTCAACTTGGCAACTCACCCTAAAGAAGGATGAAAAGATTTTGTCTCATTTTTATTATAGGAAAGTAAACATTCTGGCTGGTATAAAAATAATACAAGTTTCCTGTGGACATTACCACTCCCTGGCGTTATCACAAGGTAAAAATATGGTGATTTTTAGGTCTCCTGAGTGTCAATAGGAAATAATTTTTCAAACTAAAGTACATAGTTTATTTAAATTTCTTTTGTTGATGTTGTTTTAGTGGAAGTATACATAGCAAAAAGGAGCTCTGGTGGCATAGTGCTTAAGGCATTTGACTGCTAACCAGAAGGCTGGTGGTTCAAATGCACCAACTAATCTGAGGAAGGAAGATGGGGCAATCCACTTCTGTAAAGATTTACTGCCTCAGAAATCCAATGCAGGTTGCTGAGTCAGAACTGACTCAATGGCAGTGACTGATACATAGCAAAAGATATACCATTTCCCACAATTTCTACATGTACATACAAGTCAGTGACATCAATTTCGTTCTTCAAATTGTACTACCGTTTTCTCTGTTTTCCCACATTATTTCACCACCATTATCTTAAAGTCACTGTCCCCTATGCTTCCAACCCAACCTGTCAAGATGCTGTTGTCAATTTTATCTCACGTAGATAGTTCTTTAAAAGTGCACAGTGCTTAAAACAGATGTACCTTACCATTTAAGATAAACTATTGTTTGGATCAAAGAAGTCTTTAGGGAAGAGTTTTGGATTAAGATTTAAAGTTTAACGGTTATCTCCAGACAGTAGTTTCAGGGGTTCAGCTAGCCTCAATGAAAGCCTAGATTCCACTGAAAATTTATAAGTCTGTTCTGCAAGGAAAGAACTTTTTGAATATGAATGATAATGGTTGATTTTTAATAATTTGGGATTCATTTAAATGCATTTAGAAATTTTTAATTCTAGATTTTATAAAATGTGTGGTTCTTTGTTTATTTTTTTTCCATTTCTTTGTTCTTATTTCATAGTATGTAAATCGTATCTCATTGCTGTAATGAACCCCCTTTGCTCACATGACTTACATGACAGGCTCCCTAGGAACAGTTTTATTTCCAGCTCTTTGCCTTTCTGCTAACTGGCTTGCTCACACTGGCAAACCCAGACAGACTAGAGGCTATTTGTCAGTTTGACTTAGATCAAAGAAAGAGAAGTTGTCAAAATCCTGACTCTACATTTTTTTCTACTAACCAACCCCATTCTGCACTCATCTTCAATTCAAATTTCTAAATGGAGATCCACATAACATTTTTCTGCCCCTCAGGTGATGTCTTACACATCATTGCAACTGTGCCTCAGTTCATAACTGAGTTATAAACAGCCAACATTTCTTCATTGTTTTCTATATGCCACTATTGTGTTAAAAGCTTTATGTATGTTATCTCTTGCAATTGTCTAGCAGACACAACAGTCAGAATTATTCATATCCTTATTTCAGAAATGAGGAAATTTAGTCTCTGAGACTTTATTTGCCCAAGGTTACACACTAAGAGAAATTGGGGATTGAATGTAAACTTGTTTGCATCCTAATCTGAACCACTGCCCCACATAGTCTATGAGACCAGAGTACTTCTCATGGCTGTAGTATGATTCTTTCTACCTACCATTTCTAGCTATTTGTTCTTGAGTAAGTCCCTTAGCCTTCTTGAGTCTCAGTTTTCTCATCTGTAGAAAGATTTATGCCTAACGTACAGGTGGTTTAGAAGATTTAATGAGAGAAAGTACTTTAATGTTTTCTGTATAACTAATAGACAACCCCCTGCTGTTAGTTGATTGAGACTCATAGTGACCCCTCCTTGGGTTTCCAAGGCGGGGTCTCTATGGAAGTAGATTGTCAAGTCTTCCTTCTGACGAGTGGCTGGTGGATTTGAACCACCAGCCTTCTGGTTAGCAGTCAAATGCCTTAGGCACTACACCACCCCAGCATAAACTAAGGGTACAATATTAGTCTTTCCCCTTCCCCACTTTTCTTTCTGTTAATAATATAAATTATTTCCTTGAGTACTGACTTGTTTTTTTGTTGCTCTGGATCATAAAGGCTGTCTAGAGTCCAGAACCTGATGCATTTGCTGTAGTGAAATGAGTTCTTACAGACTTCCATGGAAGTTTGTCATTTTGTAATGCACCTTCAAAAATTTTTCTTATCAGTAGGATTAACTTTAGAAGAATTAAAGATAAACATTAATACAAGAACTTATAAAATCTGTGATGTTTTGGCATTCCTTTGCTATATAATTATTATAATAGCACAATTTCTAATCTGTTGTAAATTATCTCTAAACACTCATTGCTATTGAGTTGGATCCTACTCATAGCGACCCCTTCTTGGGTTTCCAAGGCAGTATCACTACAGAAGTAGATTGCCCAACCTTCTTTCCGAGGAGTGGCTGGTGGGTTTGAACCACCAGCCTTCTGGTGAGCAGTCAAATACCTTAGGCACTATGCCACCAGAGCTCCTAAATTATATCTCTAGTCAAATTCAAAATAAAATCTTATTTTTCTCTCCACTCAGTTGTTCCATTGAGTGCCAACAATGTGCCAGGCAAAGAAAATATAGCAGTGAACAAACCTTAGATCCTGATTTCTGGGTCTTATATTCTCGGGAGCTTATATTCTGGGGTATAGCAGGGGAAATGAGTCAATAAACACCTAGGCAAATAGTTACATAACAGATGGAAATAAGAGCTATGGAGGAAAGTAAAACATGGTAAGGTGACACAGCATATGTACCTGGGTGGAGGGAAGGGATCTTTATAAAGGAAGTTAGGGACAGTCTCTCTTATAAGGTGACACATGAGCAGAGACATAAAGAAAGGGAGAAGGGGAGGGAGGGAGCAGTGATGCTAACTGGGATAAGAATTATCCAAGCAAATGGAATAGCAGATACAAAGGTCAAAAGGTAGGGACATGTTCACATGAGCAAAGGGGAGAGGAGATCCCAGAGGTGGTTGTGGGGAATATTGGTAATGTGGAGCTTATTAGCCATAGTTAAGAATTGGCCCTCAATTTGATGAGATTATAAGTTCCTGCAGGGGGTATTCTGACCTATGTTTTAAAAAGATCAGTCTGGAAACAACCCAAATATCCATCAACAAATGAATGGATAAACAAATTATGATATATTCATACAATGGAATATTATTCAGCCATCAAAAGGAATGAGGTTCTGATACACACTGCAATGTAGATGAACCTTGAAAACATGCTGAATGAAATAAGCCAAAAGGACAAATATTGTATGATCCTACTTATATGAAAAGTCCAGAATAGGCAAATTCATAGAGACAGAAGTAGATCAGAGGTTATCAGAAGGCAGAGGGAGGATAGGGAGTTATTGCCTGATGGGCACAGAGTTTCTATCTGGGGTGATGAAAAATTTTGGAAATGAAGTAGTGATGAAGGTTGTGCAACATTATGGATATAATTAATGCCACTGAATTACATACTTAAAATGGTTAAAATGGAAAATTTTGCTATATATATTTTACCATAATAAATTTTTTCAAGAAGAATATAACTCTGGCTACTCTTTGGAGAACAGACTGATGGGACAAAGGTAGAATCAGAGAGACCAGTGAGGGGCTCTTGTAATTTTCAAGAAGAAAAATATGTGACTTGGATTAAGGAGGTGACCATGGAGAAGTGAAAAATGATCTGATTCCAAATAGATTATGTTTCATTTATGAATTTTTATTGTAGTGAAATATATGTAACAAAACATTTCAACCATTTTTATCGTAAAATTCAGTGATATTAATTACATTCACTATGTTGTAGAACAAGGATTCTTGATAGATTTTGAAGGTAGAAGTTTTAGAATTTGCTGAGTTGAGTGTGAAAGGAAGCGGAGAGTCAAGGATGACTCCAGGATTTTTTTGACTAACCAGCTGGAAGTACACAGGTGCCATTAACTGGGAGGGAGAAGAGTGGATGTTGTCAAAGGGGCTTTTGAAAGTGATCTTGACATCACCCTTGCCTTCAGTCAGAATACTTTAATCCTATTTTTTCTTTCATCCTTGATTTATGCTCTAAAGATTTTTAGACTTAGGGTGGTAGCTTCTACTTGAATTTAGTATTCAATTGTGTGCAATTCTGAATGTCTCTCTCTCCCTCTTTTTTTTTTTTCACAGATGGCCAAGTGTTTTCATGGGGAAAGAATAGCCATGGTCAGCTGGGCCTCGGGAAGGAGTTCCCCTCCCAAGCCAGCCCACAGAGGGTGAGGTCCCTTGAGGGGATCCCACTGGCTCAGGTGGCTGCAGGAGGGGCTCACAGCTTTGCCCTGTCTCTCTCTGGTACTTCATTTGGCTGGGGAAGCAACAACGCAGGACAGCTGGCACTCAGTGGCAGTAACATCTCAGGTAACAAGATAGTCTTGTTCTTCCAGTGAATTATTATTCCGTTTTAGTTGGAAATCCTCACAAGTAGACCAATAAGCAACATCATGATAAACAGAGAAAAGACTGAAGTTGTCAAGGATTTCATTTTACTTGGATCCACAGTCAATGCCCATGGAAGCAGCAGTCAAGAAACCAAATGACACAATGCTTTGGGTAAATCTGCTACAAAAGACTTTAAAGGGTTAAAAAGCAGAGATGATACTTTGAGGACTAAGATGCGCCTAACCTGAGCCAAGTGTTTTCAGTTGCCTCTTGTGCATATGAAAACTGGGCAATGAATAAGGACAACCAAAGGATTGGATGCATTAGAATTATGGTGTTGGTGAGGAATATTGATTATACTATGAGCTACTCGAAGAATAAACAAATCTGTCTTGGACTGAGTACCACCAGAATGCTCCTTGGAAGCTCAAATGGCTAGACTTTGTCTCATGTGCTTTGGACATGTTGTGAGGAGAGACGAGTCCCTGGAGAAGGACATTGTGTTTGGTAAAACAGAGTCATTAAAAAAAGAAGACTCTCAACAATATAGATTAGCACTGTGGCTGCTTCAACAGGCTCAAAAATAACAAGGATTGTGAGGATGGCACAGGACTAGGCAGTGCTTTGCTCTGTTTTACACGGGGTGGCTATGAGTTGGAACCTATGTGACAGCACTTAACAACAACAGCAACTGTGTGACAAAAATTAATATGATACAATGGCAATATTATTGGATGTAGAGGTCTTGAAACTTGGCTTCAAGGTCAATAGCCTCAGGCATTCTTTGCAGACATGAATTCTAAAACACCAGATTTTTTCTTTTCTAAAGCATGGTTTGCCTCTGTTTGATATTAGAAGATTGTTCACATTTTAAAATTATTTTAATGATTATGTATTTTACTAACAACGATGAAATCTGAATTTTTTTTATTATACTTTAGAAATGCTGCTTTCTTTCAACAGTGCAAAGCTACAAGCCTCGTTCAATTGGTGCACTGAAGAAACTAGGTATAATTTATATCAGCTGTGGTTATGAGCACACTGCAGTGCTCACCCAGGTAATCCAAAATGTGTTGCTTTTTAAATTAAAATCCTAAATAACTATTACCACAAGGTGTATACACTTATTATTATTGAAAACAAGCTGTGGATCAATATGTGGACATACCCATTCAATGTACACATATCTAAAGAAGAGAGGTTAACCAAATATAAGCCTTATAATTGGGCAATCTACTTCCATAGTGACACTGCCTTGGAAACCCAAGGAGGGGTTGCTTGAGTTGGGTCCGACTCCACAGCAGTGAGTTTGGTTTGGTTTTTTATACAAAAGCTAAGTTCAGCTTTAGGGAATATTTTTAGATACATAGTAAATTGGATTAATATAGGAGCTAATCCTTTTAGCAGTCATTACTGATAATGTAGCTTTACACAGGAAATTTGTATAAGCAAAAAGGTAATTGTTGCAGTTGTCAATGACCCATACTACAGACTAGAACACACTTTGTTCCATTTTTTGCTAGGCATATTTCTGAGCCAGCCTTCTGAATCTTTTCCTCTCCTTCTTCTTGTATTGACAATACGAGATACTCTACCCTGGTAGATTCTCTCCATAATCATAAGGAATAGACTTGAAAACTATTTGTGTGGTTGAAATGTTTATTTTAAAGCAATATAACCAACATTTTTATTATTAGTTTAAAATCTGTGTCTTAAATTAGGAAGCCCTCAGTTGTTTTTCTTACATGGTAGGAAAAAGCTAGAATTGTATTTAATCACCATAACATACTTTCAAAACAGATTATATTCAGGAAAATGCCCAAATAAATAAAGTGACTCTATACTTAAATATAGAAGTTCTGGTGGTGTAGTGCCTAAGGCACTTGACTGCTAACCAGAAGACTAGTGGTTCAAACCCACCAGCCACTCCTCGGAAGGAAGACTGGGCAATCTACTTCCATAGAGATACAGCCTTGGAAACCCAAGGAGGGGGTCACTATGGTATTTTTGGTTTTATATTTAAATATTGGCATTATTGTTGAACCAGTTAATAAGCCCATTCATTCATTCAATAAGCATTTATTACGTGCCAAGTTCTTAAGGAAATGCCAATGTTTAATGTATTAATTCTACATTCAATATTAGAAGTAATAAAGGACCCCTCCTCTTTATAGAGAACTTATATTTCCCCACATAGTGTTCTCCTATTAACTATGATACTTAATTTTTAAGCTTTTCAATTTTTTTTTTTTGGCTGAAATTAATTTAATTCCTCCCTTTTTTTAAACAGGAGGGTAAAGTGTTCACATTTGGAGACAACAGCTTTGGACAGTTGGGACACAGCCCCACTGCTGAGAAGAGTGGCCCACAACTTGTGGAAGGAATTAATGGCCTAGTTTCACAGATAGATTGTGGAAGGTAATAGGTTTTATGACTTTACCATGAGTAACCATTAACCAGTTGCTGTCAAGTTGGTTCTGACTCGTGGCAACCAGGTCCTTTTCAGAGTAGAACTGGGCTCCATAGGATTTTCAATGACTGTGATCGTTCAGAAGTAGATTGCCAGGCCTTTCTATTGAGGCAGCTCTGAACGGCTTTGAACTGGCTCCATTTCAGTTAATAGCTGAATGCTTAACTAGATGTTTGTGCAACCCAGGGACTCCTTTAGTATGGGTAGAAAGAGTATTGTATTACTTAGAAATGACTCATATGGGATGTTATTAAACCTTAAAACCCTAAAAACTGCTATTTTTATAGTTCCTTTTCCTTTCTGAATATTTATTTCTCTTAAATACTAGTCTAATTTTTCAAGGTTTTTTTTTTCTCCTTTATTCAAAATATTTTATTTATTAAGAAGAACTAATTGGAAGTGTACTGTGTATAAAACACATTACTAGACGCTGGGAGGTGGGGAGGTAAACTGATAACAGAAACAGTGATGCTTGCCTACTTGAGTTGGTAAGACAAGATTAGACAAAGCAATCTCATGTGTGTTGTTGTCACTTGCTGAAGAGTAAGCTGGGACTTACGTATAACAACAAAATATTGCCCAGACAATATTCTCTTGTGACCCATGTTGTTGTTGTTATGTGCCGTCGAGTCGGACCCGACCCATAGTGATCCCTCCTTGGGTTTCTGAGGCAGTATCACTACAGAAGTAGATTGCCTCATCTTCCTTCTGAGCAGTGGCTGGTGGGTTTGCACTACCAGCTTTCTGGTTAGCAGTCAAGTGCTTTAGACACTATGCTACCAGAGCTCCTTGTGACCCATAAGGTTTTCAATTAGATAATTTTTGGGAGTAGATCACCAGTCCTTTCTTCCTAGTCTGTTTTATCTAGAAGTTTTGATGAAACATTTGCACCATGAGTGACTCTGCTGGTATTTGAAATACCAGTGACATAGCTTCCAATATAGCAACATGAAAGCCACCATAGTTTGACAAATTGACCTAGGGTGGTGGACCACCTGTCTATCATGTTTGTAGATGATGTATATTTGCATATATCTTCAAAGTTTTGCACAACCTAATTATGAGGATTCTTTTAATATTATCTATCCAATTCATTTAAAAGAAAAAACATTCGTATTTAAACCATGAATGATAGAGACCATATAAAGAGTTTTGTAACCCAACGATAATATTCTACCTGTAAAGTTAGTAATAAGTTAATATTCATCTATTTGTATATACACATTATTTAGTACCTCTCCTGTACTGTTGTTGTTAGGTGCCATTGTGTTGGCTATGAGTCATAGCGACCCTATGTACAACAGAATGAAACACTGCCCGGTCATGCCCCATCCTCAAAATGCTTGCTATACTTGAGCCCATTGTTGCAGCCCCTGGGTCAGTCCATCCTGTTTAGGGCCCCCTTTTTCGTTGACCCTCCACTTTACCTAAGCATGATATTCTTCTCCAGAGAATGGTCGCTTCTGACAACATAACCAAAGTAGCTAAGACAAAGTCTGGCCATTCTCACTTCCAAGGAACATTCCAGTAGCACTTTTTCCAAGACAGATCTGTTTGTTCTTCTGGTGATGCATGGCACTATCAGTATTCTTCGCTAACATCACAACTCAAAAGCATCAACTCTTCTTTGGTCTTTCTTATTCATTGTCCAGCTTTCACATGCATATGAGGCTATTGAAAATTCCATGGTTTGGGTTAGGCACCACACAAGGAAGGCTGGGCAATCTACTTCTGTAGTGATACTGCCTCAGAAACCCAGGGAGGTGTCTCTATGAATCGGGTCCAACTTGGTGGCACATAACAACAACAAGTCTTCAAAGAGACATATTTGGTCTTTAGCACTTTAAAGAGGTCTTTTGCAGCAGATTTGCCCAGTGCAATATTTCATCTGATTTCTTGACTGTTGCTTCCATGGGTGTTGACTGTGGATCCAAGTAATATGAAATCTTTAACAACTTCAATCTTTTCTCCATTTATCATCATGCTTCTTATTGGGCTCCTGTACTACTATTATGAAAGGAGATCTGGGTACTTAGTATAAGATAAATTCATTATTTTGTGCTAGTAAGCATCATCTTTCCCCCAAAAATCTGAGTACTCTGGTCCTCATTGTAATGTGCTCCTTCTCTTGTAGTTATCACACCCTTGCATATGTCTACACAACTTGTCAGGTGGTATCTTTTGGTCATGGACCAAATAACACAAGCAGCTCAACTCATCCAGATGCCCAGACAAAGAACTTGGATGTTAGCTGCCTGATTTCTGCTGATGGTATGAGTGATTCCACTAATCTATGATTTTGTATTAATTGATGTCACTGGTGGAGAAATATTATCCAGCGTCCTTTCAGAGAAGGCCACAGAACTGTGTTTCTTCTAATGCTTTCATTTTAAATGTATACTTTGTATATTTTTTCTTAAGTATGATTCCTGTAGTATTTGGTAATCATTTCTAAAGATCACAGTAACGCAAAAGAAGATGCTAAGTAAGTCTCTTAAGCATCAGAATACTTAAATGTATGTAGCCCAACCTCTTTAATGCATGTTAAATGGGCTTTGTTTTACAAAAAAAAAAAAAAGAAAGAAAGAAATGCACTGCCCTTGAGTCAGATCCAACTCATAGAGACCCCTCCTTGGGTTTCTGAGGCGGTATCACTACTGAAGTAGATGGCCCAGCCTTCCTTCTGAGGAGTGGCTGGTGGGTTTGAACCACCAGCCTTCTGGTTAGCAGTCAAATGCCTTAAGCACTACGCCACCAAAGCTCGCTTGTTATTCAAGTGTATGAAAAATTAAATTTTAAATTAAGTGATTCATGTAACATGCTACCTTATCAAAATTAATATTTTATGCTGTTCATAGTCAACATCCATTTATAGGAGTATAAATTGCCAATAAATATGTAAATTTGACTTGCTAGTACATCAGATCTATTTTTTACTTCTCTAAGCATGGATTTTTTACTTTCTTTTAGACCTTGTGACTGTTCAAGTCAAACACATTTTTGCTGGAACATATGCCAACTTTGTGACAACTTATCAGGTATTACACTTCCTGTTTCTTTTAGAAAATGTATTTTTCCTCTAGATTTCAAGGTGGTATTTGCAATATTGTATCATTTGTATGTATGCAGATTTTTCAATCTAGGGCTGCCATAACAAATGATCACAAACTGCGTGATTTAAAACCACAGAAATTTATTCTCCCACAGTTCTGGAGGCTAGAAGTTCAAATCAAGGGGTCAGCAGGACCATGCTCCCTCTGAAGGTTCTAGGGAAGAATTGTTCCTTGTCTCTTTTTAGCATCTGGTAGTTGCCAGCAATGTTAGACATTCCTGGTTTGTAGCTGCATCATTCCAGCCTCTGTCTCAGCCTTCTCATGGCATTCTCTGTGTCTGTCTCTGTGCCCCTTCTCTTCTTATAAGGTTATCAGTCATTTTGGGTGAGGACTCACTTTAATCAAATATGATTTCATCTTAACTTGATTACATCTGCAAAGACCTTATTTCCAAATAAATTCACATTTTGAGTTTCTGATGGACATGAATTTTGGAGGGACACTCATTATTCAATGCATAATACTTACTAAAATAATATTCTCTGTTAGAATGCTTTTATATAATTTTATATAATTCTGCCTTCTTCATTTGCCTGGCTTCCTAATATAAGATTCCCGAACCCAAATTCATTGCTTTTACACTAACCTTTTATTAGCAAGTAATAGTATCAGTGATGATAATACACCATTGCCTTCGAATTGGATCCAACTCATAGCGACCTTTCCTTGGGTTTCCGAGGCAGTATCACTATGGAAGTAGATTGCCCAACCTTCCTTCCAAGGAGTGGCTTTGAACCGCCAGCCTTCTGGTTAGCAGTCAAATGCCTTAGGCACTATGCCACCAGAGCTCCCAATGGTGATAATAACATTGACAAATAATAGTAAGTGTAGTCACCATGTGTCAAAAAGCAATCAAAGTACAATAAGGGGATCAACATATTTAATCCTCCTATCAGTTCTGGTTTGTCGTTTCCATTATTTTACAAATAAAAAACCTGAAGCTTAGAGACTCACCCAAAGTTGCATTGCTAATAAGTGGCAGAGCTTCATTCAAACCCAAGCAGTATGACCCCAAAGCTTGCAGCATTATGCATCCTGCCTTCCTATTTGCTCACATCACCACCACCACTTGCCATTGAATTGATTCCAACTCATGAGGACCCATGGATGTGGAGCAGAAGTACTCTAGAGTTTTCAAGGATGTAACCTTTCAGAAACAGGTCACCAGGCCTTTCTTCTAAGATGCCTCTAGGTGGGTTCCAATGCCAAGTCTTTCTGTTATGAGTTGAGGGTTTAACCATTTGTGCCACCAATGACTACTCTTGTTAAAAGAGAATATTTTATTATTATGTTTCTGGGCGAGTTCTAGAATGTCTGTATGGAGACAAAGGCATACTTACTTATTTTTCTAAAAGTGTAAATTTTTTCTATTGTCAGGAATGTTTTAAACTTGACATCTATAGAGACTCTGCGTCTCTCAGATGCAAATTGTCAGAGGCCAAGGTTTCTGTGCTACTGGGATAGTTAGGGGATGAGACTTTGGTTGCTCTATCTTGCCATTCATTCAGCCAGTCAACAAATATTTATTGAGTGCCTCCTATGTATCAGGCTCTGATCTTGGTGTTGGGGATAAGAGTGAGTAACAGACAAGTTTGCTCTCATTCATGGAGTTTGGATTCTAGAGACAGTGTGGGACAATAAACATGTGAATATAAAATTAAATAAGATTGTGTGTAAAAGTGACAAGTACTCTGAAGAAAACAAAACAGGCCATCTGGGAGTGACGTGGTGGGCTTCTTAGTCAGTCAAGGCTTCTTAGAGGCTTAACACTTGAGCAGAGACCTTACCTATACTTTGATCCAGGAAAAGTGCATTGCAGGCTGAGGGAACAGCATGAAGAAAGGCTCTGAGTCAAGAATAATTTGGCATGTGAGAGGGACAGAAAGAAAGCCATTGAGGCAGGGTACTGTCAGAGGAGATGAAGAAGAGGTGTATGAAATGGAGCCAGTTATGTGACATGGAATCAGTTTTTTGTTTTGTTACTATCATATTTTACTTTTGTTGTTATTCAGCATATACACAGCAAAACATAATCTTTTGAGTGGTCAATTTTTTATATAACTTTATTTATTTTGTTGTTGTTGAGAACATACTACACAATAAAAATCCAACAATTCAACAGTTTCTATATGTTCCATTTAGTGAAAATGATTACATTATTCTTCAGGTTATATAACCATTCTCATCCTCTTTTCTAAATTGTTTCTCCCTCATTAACATAAACTGACTGTTCACTAAGGTTCCTGTCTAATCTTTGGAGTTGCTCTCACCAATATGATTCCATAGAGATAGTTCTTAAAAGAGCATAATCCTCAAGGCAGACATTTTTTACTAGTTAGCTAAACTATTGTTTAGTTTGAAGAAGACTTCAAGGATTATTTTTAGTTTAAGGTTTAAAGATTATCTCAGGGCAACAGTTTCAATGGTTCTTCCAGTTACCATGGCTCCAGAAAGGCTAGATGACATGAGAATGTGCAATTATTTTCCTCATTTTCCCCCTTTTGATCAGAATTCTACTATAGAATCTTTGACCAAAATGTTTAGTAATGGTAGGTGAACATCATGCATTTCTTCTGGTCTCATGGCAGAGGAGGCAGTTTTCTTGGAAGTAAATAGCCATACATCTACGTCCTTCTCCTATTCTTGACTCTCCTTCTTCTGTTGCTCTAAGCAAATAGAGATCAATTTTTGTACCTTGGATGTCTGATTGCAAGCTTTTAAGACATGGGGTCAAATTTTAATGTCTTTAGAATCATCATTGGATATTTAAATCTGGAGCTCAGAGAAGGTGTCAGCACTAGAGACAAAGATATGGTAGTTATTATGCTATAAAACCCTATAGGTTTCTGGTGGTGCAGTGGTTAAAGCATTCAGTTGCCAACAGAAATGGCAGTTCAGACCCACCAGCTGCTCTGTAGGAGAAAGATGTGGTAGACCCTATGGGGCTGTTCTACTGTGTCCTACATGATCTCAATGAGTTGGACTCAACTTGATAGCAATGGGCTTGGTTTGGTTTGAGAATGAGGTCATCTCAGCAAAGAAAAGATTAATACATGATTGGGAAAGGAACAGAGAATAGGAGGGGAGCAAATAGAACAATGACTTTGACAACTCTGCAAAGTTTTATTGTGCAGTGGCATAGAGAATCATGACAGAATTTTGTTATTGGGAGAAGTAGTATTTTTAAAAACAGTTTTATTGAGCTGTAATTCACATACCATAAAATCCACCCATTTAAAGTGTGCAATTCAATACTGTTTAGTCTATAGGCAATCTCTGGGAGCTCTGGTAGCATAGTGACTAAGGCACTTGACTGCTAACCAGAAGGCTGGCAGTTTAAACCCACCAGCCACTCCTTGGAAGGAAGATGAGGCAATCTACTTCCGTAGTGATACTGCCTTGGAAACCCAAGGAGGTGTCGCTATGAGTCGGGTCTGACTCGACGGCACATGACAACAACAACAATAGGCAATCCCTGGATTACAAACTACTTCTGTTCCTCACTGTCTTTAAGTCAAATTTATACGTAAGTCAGAACAGTTAGGTACAGTTTGTACCTGATGTCAGTTGGTCAAATGGTCAAAAGTATGTGGTATATAGTGTACCTTTTCATACATAAAAACACATTAAACCAGATACACTAAAACATCTTTAACATAATATAGTAATGATAACAATACTAATAATATTTTGATATGTGTTGCAAAGTACTGCCCATTTATTATTAAGAACCATTATTTGCACCTCAAATTTTTAGTATAATAGGATTTACAGGAGTTTGTTCATAAATACAGGTTGTGTGTGAGTCAGGTGTTCGTAACCTGGGGACTTCCAATATTATATTCACAGAGTTGTGCAAGCAACACAAAATCTACCCCTCTATTATTGATACTAAGTTTGATTCCTTGGTTAAGCAGGCAACCTTCAGGGAAGAGATACATTTTAATTCCACAAATATTTATTGAGCTTAAAACAAAAAACAACCTAAATCCCTTGCTCTCAAGTTGGTTCTGACTCATGAGCCCACTAGGATACAGTGTAGGCTTGAGGAGTTTGAAGAGTTATCTGGCCAAAATTACTTTTTTTTTTTAATTGTGACTTGGGTGAAAATTTACAGAGCAAATTCATTTTCCGCACAATAATTAACACACATTTTGTTTCATGACATTGATTGCAGTCCCTGTAATGTAACAGTTCTCTTCTCACTTCCTCCCTGTGGTTACCTTTTCCCTGTGTTCTTCTTTCCTATACATTCCTGCCCTCTGAAATATCTCCCTGTATAAATAAATACTGCCCTTCTGATTTCCCACAGTTGGTTGTTCTGAGGAGTATACCTAGCTGATATAAATGACCACCTTATATGCCTGGCTATTGTTTGGCTGGAAGCCACTAGAGTGAGTTTAATTCCAGGCCTGAAGGGTGACTAGGGGCCATAGTCTTAGGAGTTTCACTAGTCTCAATTAGACCAGTAAGCCTGGTCATTTTCATGATTTTGAATTGTGTTGCACATTTTTCTCCCACTCTATCCATAATCTCCTACACTGATCCCTTTCTGACTGGTTGACAGTAATAGCCAGGCACAGTCTAGTTCTTCTGGTCTCACAGTCATGTAGGCTGAGGTTTGCATGGTCCACAAGTCCCTTGGACTAATTATTTCCATGTGTCTTTGGTTTTTTTCATTCTTCTTTCATCTAAGCAATGAGAAACCAATTGTTGCATCCTAGACGGCTGCTTGTAAGCTTTTAAGACCTCAGTCACTACTCATCAAAGTAGGATGTAGAACAATGTGTCAATTGAGCTTGATGTCCCCCACAACCATGTCTTGAGTCCATAGACCCAAAACTCATTCCCTCAGGGTGTTTTTCTGTGACTAAGAAGTTATCATAACTTTGCCCCCTGTTAGCTCTATTAAGTATATATACCTGAACCAAATTACTTTTTGATAATTCTATGAAAAGAATCATCTGGATGAAAGCTCAAGTGGTGCCAAGGTTGAGGAGAAACATTTATCCAGGGTATAGGTGGCTGAGGTGGAGCAGAGAAAAAGAGTAGAGGTGAGATCAAGAACTGAGAGATCAAGGTAGTCTTCATCAATTGTGAAGTCACCAAGAATGATAACAAGAGCAGTGGTGCTGAGGAAGATGGAAAGCCTGGTGCCAACATTTTCAGTGAATGAGGGAATGACGAGGACATTAGGAGATGATTTTAAAAGAAGGTGAAGGAGGTAGATGCTATAGCCTGATGTCATATACTTAGTGAGCTGGGTATTTTGAAGAAAAAGCAAAAGAAATGTTTTTCTAAATCCCAATGGAGATAACCTCTTTATCCCAAGGTTCCTAGGAAATAAAATTTTCTTTTGATTGATCTATAAAGGATCCAAATCAAGTAGTTGAAGGGAACTTTAAAAAAAAGAGTCATGGCTGCACATTGCTTTCAAGCTGCCTTTTTTTTTTTTTTTTTTGAGCATTATGGAAAAAATGACATGAGATTTCTTGACTTTATAATGATTTCAGTGGAAGCATAGGTATAATGCTCAGCAGAGCGCTGATGCCTTTGGAAGACTATTGAAGACAAATTTTTAAGACAGTGATTTTTTTTTTTTTTTTTTTAAATCTACAAATGGGCCATTTGGTCTCAGGTATTTCATGGAACCACAGCTCTCAAGATGCAGTCCCCAAACCAGCAGCATATCACCTGGAAGTTTGTTAGATGCAAATTCTTGGTAGCATAGTGCCTAAGGCACTTGACCACTAACCAGAAGGCTGGCGGTTCAAATCCACCAGCCACTCCTCGGAAGGAAGGATGGGCAACCTACTTCCATAGTGATACCACCTCAGAAACCCAAGGAGGGGTTGCTATGAGTAGGGTCTGACTCAACAGCATATAACAATAACAACGCAAGAACTACTGAAACTCTATGAATGGGCTCCACCAATCTATCCTTTAATAAGTTCAAAGTGATTTTGATGTATAATACAGTTGGAGAACCACTGATACAGAATTAAAAATCTGTGGTTGAGTAAAGGAAAGAAGAAAACCTATTTGTTGAACACCTACTCCAACCCAAAGGCTTTATATACCTAATATCATCTAATCTTAACAAGAGCCCGGTGAGGCAAGTATTGTTATCCCACTAAAAAAAAAAAAAAAAAAAGGTGATTAAACTGAAATTCAGGCTAAGCAAAGCATCCAAAGCTAAGAAGTGGAACAGCCAGGCCTATCTGAGGCCAAAGCCCCTTCCACCAAACATCAGTGCCTGGGGCCAATCTACCACCAATGCCATCTGTTTTCCTGTGTTATTATTACTGTGTGTGTAAATGCTTACCTGACCATTCTTTTTGTCTTTCTTCCTCAAAGGATACCAGTTCCACAAGTGTCTCCAGAAAAACCCTTCCAGAAATAAGCCAAATTAACCAGTCCCTGATAGAAAACTGGATAGCAATGAAAAAAAGAAATGTTGAACATGAAGCAGCTAAGAGGTTACTCTTTCTGATAAATTATAAAGCACTTTTACCTGATTTTATAGCTTTGATGATTTTATCCTAGATATAAGAAAGAGGTTGTGGGCTTTACTGTGAAGGCATGTGCATTTCAACCATGATTCTCTTGCACCACCTGCTAGATTGAATCCATCTATTATTGAACAAAAATACATTGGGGATATACAATACTCCAGGTACCTTGCTGGGTAATGGAGATGCAGGAGTGAGTAAACAAGTATTTTTGCCTTCACAAAACCCTCAGTAAGGTGGACTATCTTTATGTCTTCATAGTTTACTCTCTGGAGCTCCATTTTGTTTTGGTTTTCAGTAGTATAGTTTGCATTTAAATCTACATAATTTGAACAAATAACCTTTGAAAAGAAGAGTTGTTGTGAAATTTAGCAATAATATGCACAAAGTGGGAACTCCAGTGGCATAGTGCCTAAGGCATTTGACTGCTAACCAGAAGGCTGGAAGTTCAAACCTGCCAGCCACTCCTTGGAAGGAAGACTGGGCAATCTACTTCTGTAGAGAGAACCAAAAATCAAACCAAACTCACTGCCGTTGAGTTGATTTTGACTCAGAACCACCCCTCCTTGGGTTTCTGAGGGGGTGTCTATGGAAGTAGATTGCCCAATCTTCCTTCCGAGGAGTGGCTGGTGGGTTTGAACCACCAGCCTTCTGGTTAGCAGTCAAATGCCTTAGGCACTACACCACCAGAGCTCCTTCCATAGAGATACCACTGCCTCGGAAATCCAAGGAGGGTTTGAGTCAGATTCAATTTGACAGCAGTGAGTTGGGTTTGGGTTTTGGTATGCACGTAGTACCCATCATTTGGGAGACTTTTAGGAGATGGTAGTTAGTACCATTAATAATGACTCCGTGTCATAAGTTATTTATTCAAACATAAGAACAAAGGAGACATGCTTTATTGTATTGTGAAATTTTTGTTTTATTCTCCAGACTTGCTGGAGTTGAAAAACTTCTTTGAAAGACTTAAGGAGACTTGGATGCTTCCACCTGGGAGAGGGGAGCCCCCATTTCAAATCCTTGCCTTCTCAGGCTTCATTGGTATAAACAGAAACATTTCTGTTGACATACAGTAAGATTTGTCTGCTTGCTCAGAAGTTTTAGTTCAGACATTAAACCAAAACCAAAGCCCACTGCAATTGAGTAGATTCTGAGTGATAGTGACCTTGTAGGACAGAGCAGAAGTACCCCCATATGGTTTCCAAGGCTATAAATCTTTACAGAAGCAGACTGCTTCAGAGCTGCTGGTGGGTTTGAACCACTGACCTTTTGGTTGGCAGCTGAGTGCTTTAACCACTGTTTAATTTACATTAAACAGACCCTCTTTAACAGGTAAGTTTGAATGCTTCAGCATTATATATAGCTTACTCTTATATGACCTTAAAATATATGAAAGATGTTTTGTTTAGTTTCTCTCTCTTTCTCCCTCTCTGCTCTTTGCTTCCTATAAAAGCTGTCGGTTTGCATTTATTTAGGGAAGTCCTTCCTAGTTTTTCTAGATGTGCGTCCATCATGACTCTTTTTGAAATCAAATAAACTCTATGAGTTTAACTTTATTAGAATATATATTTTTTACCAGTAAGTTGTGATTTAACTCTAATGTTACTACTTTTGCAGTAAAATTTCAGTGATATTTTCATCTGCTGCTTGTCTGACTGCGAGTTTTTTAAAGAAAAGGTAATATTGACATGAGACTAAATTTTCATTTAAATCTCTACAAAGATATTGTTATAATGGAGATATAATAATCACTATAGAGATAATAAATTGTGATGTACTCTCTTTTAAGAAGATCATAAAACGTTATTTTATGTTTATGTGTGCCAAGTAAGTTGATTATTTTGAAAAGAGGCAAGTTTTAAGAAAAAAAATTATATCTGAAATATAGTAAAATAAGCAGTGATATATGAAGTTAGGGGATACCCATTTCTGTTTTTGTTTTTTATTTCGTGCATTTCTTGTATCCAAAGAGGAACTGGAGAAACTATTTCCATTGATGTGGACTTACCGATGGCAAGAGAAACCTTCAATAAGTTATCAAAGAAGGAATGGATTTCTTCCCTGGTAATAGTCAATACTTATTGAGAAATACAGCAATAGAATTTACTACAGTTTAATTTTATTGAGAGCCAGGTGAGAGGGATTATGATTGTGGGTAAGATGACAGGCTGATATTAGTTATGAGGTAACAATATTCCAGATATTATATTAGGTGCTGGCATTTATTTTTTCATTGAACCCTTCAATATACAATAGACATTACACTTTAATTTTCAATTCAAGAAAAACAGTGCTCAAGAGGTTAACAACATATGAAAACATCACAATCTTATAAAAATAAAATGTTCACAATATTAAATTTGTGCATGAACTCGTAAGTTTTATTTTTCAATTCATGAAACAGAGAAGGCTGTTCTGGAAGTCAAATGAGTACACGGTACTCGGTACCAAAGCAGCAGGATATTTCCAAGCACAGACACACTAGACCAAGGAAGCTATACATCAGATTGGCTAGCAGGCATTTTCTTTCCTTATTTGAGATTAAGAGGAAAATTTTTTTTCCATTTATTTATTCTTGCAGGGACAGTAAATTTTTTAATGGCTCCCTGTATCCAACTCTGGGAGCTCTGGTGGCGTAATGCCTAATGCATTTGACTGCTAACCAGAAGACTGGCAGTTCAAACCCACCAGCCACTACTCGGAAGGAAGGTTGAGCAATCTTCTGCAGAGATATTGCCTCAGAAACCCAAGGAGGGGTGGCTATGAGTCGAATTGACTTAATGGCAGTGAGTTTGTTTGTTTGTTTGTTTGTTTTTTGGTTTTGTATCCAACTCCAGACTCTACCACATGCAAGCTACAGTATAAATTATTTAATTATAAATTATTTAATCTCTCTATATTTTCAACCTGTAAAGTCACATTAATAAAGTACAAAACTGATATGGTTATTGTAAAGATTAAGCTAGAGTACATAAAGCATTCAAATAGTACCTAGAATACAATTAATACTCCATAAGTGTTATTTTTATTTATTTAAAATTATTTTTTTCACTCACTCACTGTCCATTAAGCATCTATTATATATAATCCAGGTTGAGAAACAAAAAGACATGAAACTATTTTCAGGAAACTAATAGCAAATGGTTCAGAATGGCTGGAACCAAGGTATTTGGAGAAGTATTACAGAAAACATTAAAGAGGCAGAGATTACAAGATAGATTTTGTGTGCCAGACTGGGGATTCCTACTTTATCCTAAATATAACGGGAAAATATAAGATTTGTTTTTTTATTATTATTTATTTTTTATTATTGTGCTTTGGTGCAAATTTACAGAGCAGAATTTGTTTTACATTCAACAGTTTGTGTATATTTGGTTTCACTCCCCAATTACCATCCCCAAACCTAACCCACTCTCCTTCCCTCCCTTCTCTGTGACACTCCTTGCTGTGCCCTTCTTAATTGTGCACTTCTGTCTGTCCAGCTTTCCCTCCATGTGAAAGCTGCCCCTCTGGTGCCCCATGGCCAATTCCTCCAAGGGTGTATCTCCATAGACTGTTGTTGTTATGTGCCGTCGAGTCAAACCCGACTCATAGCGACCCCTCCTTGGGTTTCCGAGGCAGTATCACTACGGAAGTAGGATTGCCCAACCTTCCTTCTGAGGAGTGGCTGGTGGGTTTGAACCACCAGCCGTCTGGTTAGCAGGCAAGTGTCTTAGCCACTGTGGTACCAGAGCTCCCCTCCATAGACTAGGTGGGTGTATCTCCATAGAGTAGGTGGGTGCATCACCCTGGGTTGGGTGTTCTGCATGTAAGTCCTTCTACTGTTGGGCTGAGAGCCAGTCCTTGGAAGTGAATCCTATCCCAGGTCTGAAGTGTATTCCAGGGCCATAGTCTTGGGGATGCCACTAGACTCCATCTGACCAGTAATTCTGGTCATTACTGTATTTTTTAAATTTTGTTCCAAGTTTTCCCTCCCACTCTATCCAGGATCTCCATTTATGATTCCTTCCCGAGTGGTTGGTATTGGTAGGTGGGCACCATCTGGTTCTTCTGGTCTCAAGGTCCATCATATCCTTGTACTGATTGTTTCCAAAGGCCCTTGATTTTCTTCTCTCTTCTTCACTTCAGACAAGAGGAGACCATTAGCTGTATCTTAGATGGCCACTCAAAAGCTTTTAAGACCCCAGTCACTACTAACCAAAGTAGATTGTGGAAGATTTTTATGTATTATGGTGTGCCAGTTGAGCTTGGTGTCCCCAGTACTATGGTCTTGAGTCGGCAGACCCGGTAGTTCTCGCCCAAGGTGTTTGGCTGTCTCTGAGGGATTATTCCAATTCTGTCTTCTGTTGCTTCTGTAATTTTTGTGGTTATTTGTGTCACTAGTATCTATGCAAGATTATCTTCAGCTAAATCTATCATTGGTCTAGGGTATATTCCTATTTGCCGACCCCCATCCTATCTTCACAGTTGTCTATGCATTTATCTATTATATATAATCCAGGTTCAGAAACAGAAAGACATGAAACCACTTTCAGGAAACTAACAGGAAATGATGCAGAATAATTGTAAGAGGAAGTTTTGAATTAGGTTAAATTGAGCAACCAAGTCCTAATTGGCTAGCTTAAGTTTCCATTTCTGGGAGTCAATTGATTAACTTGGGTTTGAACTCCTAGTAAGGTTAGGCATTTTCCAGAAATAGAAACTTAGTTAGGCTTCCATTTGTTGACCTGGGGCTCAACACAACTGACTCCATCCTGGGCCAAGTTTACTCAGGTTAACGTCCTGAATTCAGAGGCTGAAAAGTTATTCTCACATCAAGCCCTGCTCCTGATTTATCCCTTATACTGTTTGGGTCATATTTTCTTTACTTACTTAAAAAAAAAACTCACTGCCATGGAGTCGGATTTGCCTCACAGAGACCCCTCCTTGGGTTTCAGAGCCCAACTTTCTTCTGAGGAGTGGCTGGTAGGTTGGAACCACCAGCCTTCTGGTTAGCAGTCAAATGCCTTAGGCACTACACCACCAGAGCAGATTTATTTCATCTCTAAAGTCCATTCCAGTTTAGTATTTGTGACCCTGGATTGGAAGGAAGAGGAAAGAAAGTGTTCCTTAATGTTCAGTCCAAACTAAACAAACCAAACTCACTACTATTGAGTCAGATCTGACTCATAGTGACCCCTCCTTAGGTTTCCGAGGTGGTATCACTACAGAAGTAGATTGCCCAAACTTCCTTCTGGGGAGTGGCTGGTGGGTTCGAAGTGCCAGCCTTCTGGTTAGCAGTCAAATGCCTTAGGTACTATGCTACCAGAGCTCCTTAATGTACAGAAGACAATCTATTTTTATTTTCAAGTTAAAAAAAGTAAGAATGACAGAGGTTATCAAGTATATTTTCAAAATGAGTTTATTTAGGTGGTGTGGGAGAGAACATGGATGAATTCCAATAAATACAGGAAATATTAATCTCATAAAATGCTTCCTTAAAAAGGTTTGTTGTGAAATAACTTTCAGAACACTGCATACTATTACCAAGTCATGATGCATATGCATAAGTTAAACTTTCTATAATATCATATACACTGAAGAAAAATCTAACTTTTTTTACTCTATTTTTCTTAAAGTTATTTAATTGTATGACCCTATTTCTCCCTGCATAACACCTGTTAACATTCCACAGAGACAGTGTTCTGCCAGACATATTTTAAAAACCACATAATTGTAAGAATATTAATGTAGTAATAACAATGTTGTTGTTGTTACGTGCCATCGAGTCGGACCCAACTCATAGCGACCCCTCCTTGGGTTTTCAAGGTGGTATCACTACAGAAGTAGATTGCCCAACCTTCCTTCCGAGGAGTGGCTGGTGGGTTTGAACCACCAGCCTTCTGGTTAGCGGTCAAGTGCCTTAGGCACTACGCTAACAATATTTAGTATTTCACAGTTTATATGGCACTCTTCATATATCATTTTATTAACATATAGAGGCAGGCACTATAGCTGAAAGAGTATTTAGTAGAATAAATAATGCTGTACCAAAAAAGAAAAAAAAAAAACCTTCAAAATCTCACTGGCTTAATACAACACTCATTTCTCACATCAGAGTCCAGTGAGAGTTGGAGGTAGGAAACACTCTTGAGGAGTGGGGAACTCTTTTTGGGGAACTCAGACTTCTTCCTTCTGAAGTCTCTAAGCCCGAGGCCCATGAGCTCCTCCACTGGATCTCCTGTGTTTAGTTAGCAGATGAGGAAGGAGAACATGGTAAGTCACATGAGAGGTTTTAAGGAAAATGTTATATATCACTTTTGCTCATTTTCCATTGTTGGCTGGAATTCAGTCACATGGCCCCACCTAACTACAGGGGAGGCTAAGAAATGCCATCTTTCTGGATACCCACGCAAGAGGAATATGAAGCAGGATCAGTTAGATGAATATATGATATGGCATTATCTCTGCCACAGCAGATTTCAGGTCACATAAATCTGGATATGGTCCCCTGCTCTGTCACTTTCTGAGCTTGGTGAGTCTCTCCTTCCTCGTCTGTAAAATCAAAGTAAGAAACTTCCTTCCATGATTGCTAAGAAAATTAAATAAGAAATGATTTACACGAGAGCACCTGACACACAGTGGATATTCCATGAATGTTCAAACAAATACAGATATAATACCATATAAATTTGTATTTTTTATATATGTTCTACTTTAAAAGTTTAAAATAGATGGATGAGATGAATACTATAAAAATTGAGAGATATTTTTCCACTGAAAATTTTTCTACTAATGCATGAGAAACAAAGAAGAAAGTGTGTGTGTGTGTGTGGGGGGGGTGACAGAGAAAGAGAGAGAGAGAGAGCGCTCTCCTTTAAAAAAGAGGAACAGAAGTATGACCTGTGTAAAATACTGCCATTGGAGGGCTTTGTATTCTGAATCACTCAGTATTCCCATACACATGTGATTTCACATTTATTTTCTCCATATACCCTGATATAAAACAGAAGGGATGGCTGTCACATCAGGGGCATTTAGGAGGCTTGGAGTGATGGGGTTTGAACAGTAGCTTTCAGAAAGACTAACTGATTATTCCAATTAGACCATGGTGGAATGAAACCCCTGGTCTCATAGTTTGATTCTTTTGATACTCTGTATCTAATATATCCTGAGCCTTTTCCCTGATCCTATTTTGACCACAGATAACCTCATGTCTCAGGGATAATCTGCTCAAAAATCTTCCATTTCGTTCACCACACCAAGATGCTTTAGAAGTTTTCCTCCTTCTCCCAGAATGTCCTGTGATGCATGATCCAAACAACTGGGAAAGTCTGGTGGTTCCATTTGCAGAGACTGTTTGTAAAATGAGCAGCCAATCTTTACGAGTTGTGAGTAAGTGTTACTATATTTTATGGTCACTTTGTCTGTACCCATAGGGTTGCCATGAGTTGGAACTGACTCAATGGCAATGGGTTTGGATTTTTCAATTGTACCTTCAATGGAAAGTCACTGTTGAAATACAAGTTGTACCTGGTCTTTGAATAATTGAAATGATTAACCTAAAGCTATTATAACCATTACTCTTATCATATAAGCCAAGTGTAATTCTTAGTATTGGACATGATTTTGACATTAGAGTTGGATAACCATAGAGTATCAGTCAAGCTAAATAATATTTTAAAATTTTCTGTCCATGTTGTTTTGAAACTTTAGATATTTTGACCAGAGGTGATGATAAATAAAAAACTTTTAGTATTGTTGTTTATTCGTCTTATGGTGGTAAGCTAATGTTCAAGGTTCAAAACTTAAAAGATACAAAGTATATGTACAGCACAATATAAACCTAATTCCCCTCCAAAAAGATAGTTTTACATTCTACTTCCTTGTGTAGACTTTGAAAGATTCATTCTCTCTATATATGTATACATATATTCAAAGATATTCTTTATTTTTTAATTTTTATTGTGATTTGGGTGAAAGTTTACAGAGCAAATTCACTTTCCATACAGCAGCTCACATACACTTTGTCTCATGACATTGACTACATTTCCCACAATGCAACAGCTCCTCCAACTTCCACTCCATAGTTACCTCTTCCCTGTGTCTTTCCCTCCCATGCATTCCTGCCCCCTGAGCTATCTCCCTGTGCATACACAGCCCTGCTAGCCTCCCATGATTGATCTCTCCAAGGAGTATATCTACCTAATGTAAATGTTTAGCTCATATGCCTGTGTTTTTTTTTTTTGGGCTGGAAGCCACAGGAGTGGGTTCAATTCCAGACCTGAAGGGCAGCTAGGGGCCATAGTCTGAGTGGTTCCATCAGGCTCTATCAGACCAGGAAATCTGGGCCCTTTTTACCTTTCCTTGACTCTTTACATAATGCACTAATATAATATTTGTCCTTCTGTGATTGACTTATTTCACTCAGCATAATGTCCTCCAAGTTCATCCACATTATGCAGTGTTTTGCAGATTCTTTGTTATTCTTTAGGGTTGCATAGTATTCCATTGTGTGTATGTACCACAGTTTGGTTATCCATTCTTCAGTTAATGGGTACCTAGGTTGTTTTCATCTTCTGGCTGTTGTTAACAGTACTGTAATGAACATGGGTATGCATATATCTGTTCTTGTCCTGGTTCTCACTTCCTCAGTAATAGAATAGAATAGTAATAGAATGACTGAGTCAAATAGTATTTCTAATTCCAATGTTTTATCGCCATACTGCTTTCCACAGTGGTTGTATCATTTTACAGTCCCATTAGCAGTGTATAAGAGTCCCAAACTCTCTACATCCTCACCAGCATTTGTTATTTTCTGTCTTGTTGAATTTTGCTACTAGTGCTGGAGCAAGATGGTGTCTCATTGTTGTTTTGATTTGCATATCTCTCATGGCTAATGATCATGAGCATCATATGTTTGTTGGCCACCTGAATATCCTCTTTGGTGAAGTGTCTATTCATGTCTTCTGCCCATTTTTTAAATTGGATTATTTGTCTTTTTGTTGTTGAGGTGTTGGAGTCTTCTAGAGATAAGCCCTTGTCAGATATGTCATTGCCAAATATTTTTTCCCAATCTGTAGGTTCTCTTTGACTCTTTTGGAAAAGTCTTTGGAAGCATATAAAAATTTAATTTTCACAAGGCCCCATTCATCTAGTTTATCTTCTGCTGTTGGTGCATTTTGGGTTATGCTTAACAGTCTATTTATGCCATATATTGTTGTTGTTGTTATGTGCCGTCAACTTGGACTCAACTCATAGTGACCCCTCCTTGGGTTTCCAAGGCAGTATCACTACAGAAGTAGATTGCCCCATCATCCTTCCAGGAGTGGCTGGTGGGTTTGAACTGCCAGTCTTCTGGTTAGCAGTCAAGTGCCTTAGGCACTATGCTACCAGAGTTCTTATGCCATATATTAGGGCCCGGAAAATTTCCTCTGGTTTTTCCTTGAGGAACCTCATAGTTTTAGGTTTCACATTTAAATCTTTGATCCATCTGGAGTTAGTTTTTGTGTATGGTGTGAGGTACAGATTTTGTTTCATTTTTATGTAAATGGATATCCAGTTTTGCCAGCATCATCTGTTAAACAGACAATCTCTTCCACATTTAATGGACTTTGGCCTTTTGTCAAAGATCAGCTGACCATAGGTCGATGGATCTATTTCTGGGTTCTCAATTCTATTCCATTGGTCTATGTGTCTGTAGTTGTACCAGTATTAGGCAGTTTTGATGACTGTGGCTGTATAGTAGGTTTTAAGATCCGAGAGTGTGAGACCACCCACTTTGTTCTTCTTCTTCAATAATGCTTTGTTTTTCCAAAGTTTCTTTCCTTTCCATATAAAATTAGTGATTGGTTTTTCCATATCCTTAAAGAATGTTTATGGAATTTCGATTGGGATTACATTGAATGTATAGATTGCTTGGTGTAGAAGTGACATTTTTCACAATGTTCAATCTTCCTATCTACAAGCATGATATGTTCTTCCATTTATGTAGATCTCTTATGGTTTCTTGAAGTAGTCTTTTATGGTTTACTTTAAAACTTTTTTGCATAGGTCTTTTGTGTCCCTGCTAAGAATTATTCCCATGTATTTTATTTTTTTGGTAGCTACTGTAAATGGCATTGATTTACTTACTTCTTTTTCAGCAATCTCTTCACTGATGTAGAGGAATCCAACTGATGTTTGGATGTTGGTCTTGTATCCTGCCACTTTGCTAAATCTCTTGATCAGTTCCATTAGATTCTTTACTGAGTCTCTTGGGTTTTGTAGGTATAGGATCATACCATCAGAAAATAGGGAGAGATTAACTTCTTCCCTACCAATTCGAATGCCTTTGATTTCCCTTTCTTGCCTTATTGCCCTGGCTAGGACTTCCAATACAATGTTGAAGAAAAGTGGTAATAGAGGGCATCCTTGTCTGGTTTCTGTTCACAAGGGGAATGGTTTCAATCTCTCTCCATTGAGAATAATGTTGGCTGTTGGTTTTGTACATATGCCCTTTATTATGTTGAGGAATTTCCCTTTTGTTCCTATTTTGCTGAGAGTTTTTATCAGGAATGGGAGTTGGATATTATCAATGCCTTTTCTGCATCGACGGATATGACCATGTGGTTCTTTTCCTTTGTTTTATTTATTTATGTGATGGATGATGTTGATTGTTTCTCTAATGTTGAACCATCCTTGCATACCTGATATGAATCCCACTTGGTCATAATGAATTTTTTTTTGATATGGTGTTGGAGTCTGTTGGCTAGGATTTTGTTGAAGATTTCTGCATTTGTATTTATGAGAGATATTGGTCTGTAGTTTTCCTTTTGAGTGATGTCTTTGACTGGTTTTGGGATCAAGGTTATGCTTGCTTCATAAAATTAATTTGGGAGGATTCCATCCTTTTCTATGTTTTGAAATAGTTTGAGTAGGACTGGTGTCAGTTCTTCTCTGAATGTTTGGTAGAATTCTCCAGTGAAACCGTCTGGGTCAGGACTTTTTTTGTTGGCAGTTTTTTGATGACCTGTTCAATTTCTTCTTTTGCTATGGATCTGTTCAACTTTTCCACATCAGTCTGTGTTAGTTTAGGTAAGTAGTGTGTTTCTAGAAATCTGTCCATTACTTCTAGATTTTCAAATTTGTTGGAATACAGTTCTTCATAGTATCCTGATACTATCCTTTTTATTTCAGTTGGTTCTGTTGTGATATCATCCATTTTTGTTTCTTACTCATGTTGTGTTCTCTCCCTCTTTTCCTTTGTTAAATTTTCCAGTGGTTTGTCAATTTTATTAATCTTTTCAAAAAACCAACTTCTAGTCTTGTTGATTTTTCTATTGTCTTTGTATTTTCTGTTTCATTTATTTCTGCTTGAATTTTTATTATTTCCTTTCTCCTGGTGATTGTAGCATTTTATTGCTGTTCTTTTTCTAATTGTTGGAGATGTTGATTTTGGCTCTTCTTTTTTAATGTGTACATTTATTGCTGTAAACTTGTCTCTGATCACTGCTTTTGGTATGTTGTGTTTTCATTCTCGTTTGACTCAAGGAATATATTATTTTTAATTTTGTATTTTATGTCTTCTATTACCCAGTCATTTTTAAGGAGGTTTTTGTTCTGTGTCCATGTGTTTGCTCTTTTACCACTGATCTTCCTATTATTAATTTCTGATTTTATGGCATTGTGATCTGAGAAGATTATTTCCAGTATTTCAAATTTTTTTAATTATTAAGGCTTTACTTATAGCCTAATATGGTCTATCATGGAGAATGTTCCCTGTGCACTGGAAAAGAATGTATATTGTGCTGTTGTTCAGTGAAGTGCTCTTTAGATGTCTATAAAGTCAAGTTGGTGGATTTTATTGTTTAGCTCTTCTGTGTCTTTGTTGAGTTTCTTTCCAGTTGTTCTATCTTTCATTGAAAGCAGTGCATTAAAGTCTCCTACTATTACTGTGGAGTCATCTATTTGCCCTTTTGATTTTATTAAGGTCTGATTCATGTATCTTAGGGCTCTTTCCTCAGGTCCATAGATATTTATTATGGTCATATCTTCTTGTTCAATTGATCCTTTAATCATTATATAATGTCCTCCCTTGTCTGTTACGGCGGTTTTTGTCTTAAAGTCAATTTGATCAGTAATTGATATCACCACTCCTGCTCTTTTTTGGTTGCCATTTGCTTGATTTATCTTTTTCCAACTTTTGATTTTTAGACTATTTTTGTCTTTGTCTCTAAGGTGTGTCTCTTGTAGACAGCATATTGATGGGTTATATTTTCTTATCCAGTCTGCAACTCTCTGTCTTTTGAGTAGTGCATTTAATCCATTAACATTCAGTATAATTATCAACAAGTATAAATTGGTTGCTCTCATTTTGTTACATGTTTTTTCATGGTGTTCCTGGTTTCTTTGTTCCATATAATTTTCTGTGCTGATCTCATTACATTTATGAATAGTGTTATCATTTCCTTTGTTGCTATTGTTTTAGTGTTTGCTAAATATTCCTGCTTGTCCTCTCTTTTTAGTGTGCTGTGAAGGTTTATCTTTTTTTTTCTTTGAGCTTACCCTGTGATTTATAATTTTCTCCCTGAGTTTAGAACAGTCCATTCTATCTTGCAACTCTCTTGACTTCCTCATCATTTAGCAATTCTGTAACTACACGTTTTTCCCTCTTTTTGGTTTGCAGTTGTCCTCATTTGCCAATTGATATCTCTGGTTCCCTGTTTACAATCTTCTAAGCTTATTTTACTTTGGATGCTTCCATAGCTATGTTGGTTTCTGGGTTATGTCATCTTGTGTATTAATGGTCAGTTGTTTGCTATTATGGGTTCTCTGTTCAAAGGACTTCCTTTAGTATCTCTTGTAAGGTTGGTCTGGTTTTAATAAATTCCCTTGATTTCTGCTTCTCTGGAAATCTAATTTCACCACCACATTTGAGGGGCAGTTTTGCTGAGTATATAATTCCTGTTTGGAAATTTTTCTCTTTCAGGATTTTATATATACATCTTGTCACTTGCATGGTTTCTACTGAGAAATCAGAGCTTAGTCTTATTGGCTGTCCTTTTTAGGTAACTTTTTGTTTCTCCTGTGCTGCTTTCAGGATTCTTTCTTTTTCTTTGGTTTTGATGAGTTTGATGATGATATGTCTCAGTGATTTTCTTTTGGGGTCTGTCCTGTTTGGGGTTCATTGGAATTCCTGAGTGGATATATTCTCATTTTTCATCATATCAGGGAAGTTCTCTTCAAACAAGTCTTGGACAATCTCAGTGGTTTTGTTTTTCTCTTCCTGTTTTGTAATTCTGATTACACCTAGGTTATTACTTTTCATGGTATCCAACATGAACCTTAGGCTTTCTTCTGTTTTTTTTTTTTTTTTTCTGATTGATCCCTTTCCAAAGATGTATTCAAGTATTTGTCTTCAATCTCATTAATTCTGTCTCCCATTGATTCAGTTTTACTCCTTTGCCCTTTCAATATGTTATCTATTTCTGAAAATTTAGTATCAATCTTCTGGCTTTCTATCTGTACATTTTGTATCATTTCTAATTTTTCATTTATATTGTTATTTTGTTCTTATATTTTCTTATGAGGTTCTAGGGTTTTGTTTTCATTTTCCTTAATTTTTTCAGTGTTTTCCTTGATCTGTCTCTCAATCCTTGGAAGATATCTAAGTATAATCCTTTTGAATTCTTTATCAGGGAGTTCCAATGCTGCTTCTTCCTCCGGGATGTGTTCTGGCTCTGTATCCTGCTCCCTTGTTTCTACTGCTTTATCTTACTTCTGTGTGTGGACTGTGATGGTCTGTTGTCCCCAAGACATTGTGACATTGTTGTATTTAGATCTCTGTTATCTGTTTGTGAAGAGCAGTTAAGAGTGAGTCAGGCTTTTTTTGGTGGTCATTTATCATTGGCCAGTTGGTGAAGGAAGTGGTGGCTCTCACTCAGTAAGGGGTGCTGCAGGAGGTGTAGGTGTGGTTGCATTGCATTAGCATGGTTGCTGTCTCCCACTCAGCTAGACAAAAAAAATTGAAAAACCTTCATAAAAATCAAAGCAAGCACACCAAATCACACCACATAAACACACAGAAACAATCAGCAAAAAGAGAAAAATAAACCTGCAACATCTGGGGAGATGGCAATAAGAGAAAAGAGGTAGAGTAGAGTAATGAAGAAAAAATGGGAAAAATGCAAAAAGAAAAACAAGGAATGGGAGAACCAGGAGAAAGAAAATATGGGAACCAGGAACAAGAAAAAGAGAAAAAGCTGAAAACTACAACCTGGGAAGGGAAGAATAATGAATAATAGTAAAAAGAACAGATAAAAATAATAATAATTTTCAAACAAACTGAAAAAAAAAGGAAAAAAATATCTGGACAGGGTGGGGCAGGGCACCCAGGCTCCATCAGAACACACAGACTGGGATAGAATTCCTACCATCCCAGAAGGTCATGGGAGTGAAGGATGGCCGCACCTCCATTCACCAAGAGGGTGTGGGGTATAAGAGTAACAAGGGGAGTATCGCACCTTTCCAGTCATTCGTATCTGGAATGTCCATGCAGTCTCTATCAAATGGAGCTTATTCTTAGGTCCCTGGAATCTGAGAGAATGCTGTCACTTTAAATATCCAAAATGATCGAACCGCTTGTAAACATTCAAAATGGCTGCACCCTCTGTGCAGTTAACAGTCCACAGCTCAGCTCATCTCCCTCTTTGCTGCTTCCCCTTTTGTTCACCAGCCACCAGTGCAGTCCTCGGTGCAGCCCCTGGCTAGCAGGCTGATTTTTAGGTTAATTTATAGGTCCTAACACCACCTGGCCATATCCAAGCTGTCTGTGTGGTCAGGATGGCTAACAGACTGCAGCTCCATATGTCTCCTTTTTTGGTGTTTTCATACAGGTCTTTCAACTAGTTGGAGTTTAGTCCACTTCTGTATCCTTCCTTTCAAAGATCAGGGCTCTAGGATTATCTTCTGAATCTGTGCTAATTGGTTCCCCTTTTCTTCATTGAAGAGGGTCCGTGTAGTTTGTTTGCCTAATCCACCATCTTACTGGAACTCCCTCATTCTTTCTTTAATAATAGTATACCATTCATAGTTTTCAACAACTTGCTTTTTCCCACTTAACAGTACATCATGGAGATCATTAAATTATAGGACCTAGAACTGCCTCATTCTATTTGATGGCTGAATAGTGTTCTATTGGGAGGATATACTATAATTTATACTTAACTAATCTCTTCTTAATAGAGAATTGCTTCCAATATTTTGCTATTATAATAATGCTACCATGTATTTCTTTATACATATATAGATTTGCACATGCAGAAAATAATTTCAGGTAGCAAAATTACTGGGTCAGATTATATGTACATTTTAAATTTGAATATATTTTGCCAAATGATCCTCCATTGAAATCAAGACCATCATGGCACTCAGCTCCAGGAGGGTGCCATTAATGTTGTAGTTTATATAAACTGCACCCTACAATTGGTCATTTTGTCAGTCCTGATAAAGAATTAACTAGTTTACATTTCCATCAAAAAATACAAGTGTATTAGTCCACATACTTTTCAACATAGTGTTACTAAACTTTGATCTTTGCCATTCTGGAACAAACAACTCTTACTTTTAATTTGCATTTCACTTATTCTGAATGAAGTTGTGCTGGTTTTCTTATATATTAGATCCATTTTTACATCATATTCTATGACTATCAGTTCCTTTTTCTTGCTCATTTTTTATTAGTTGTTAATATTTTTATTTTTTATTTGTTGTTATTACATGCCATCAAGTCAGACCTGACTCATAGTGACCCCTCCTTGGGTTTCTGAGGTGGTATCATTACGGAAGTAGATTGCCCAACCTTTCTTCCAAGGAGTGGCTGGTGGGTTTGAACCACCAGCCTTCTAGTTAGCAGTCAAGTGCCTTATCTTTAACTATCAAGGCAATTAATATTTTATCAATAATATGAGTTGCAAAAATTTTTTAATGTTATTATTATTATTTACTTTGTGACATTTTTACCATGAATAACTATTTTTAAAACTTTGTATGCAGACTATATAGTTACATTTTCTTTTGTGTTTTCTGGGTTTTGGGTCATACTTAAAAAGTCAACCTCCATCTTTTTTTTTTTTTTTCAATTCTCATACTACTACTACAATTTTTATTGTTTAATTTTTGTTTAAATCTTTAATCTGTATGGATTTTATCTTGGTTGTACTTTATTTTTTCTAGATCACTTTCAGAATGTCTCAATATATTTTTAGAATATTCTATCATTTTTTTCCCATTAATAGATAATACCATCTTTATCATATAATAACGTCTCTTGTGGATTAGGTCCACTTCTGGAATCTCTAGTCTGTTACATTGATTTGCCTTTCATACATCTTAGTCATATTATTTTAATAACATTAGCTTGACAATGTATTTTAACATTTGATATGTTTGTTTTGTGAGTGTTGTCCTTGGGTATAGAAATCCAGGTTGCATCCTTAGTAATGTGAAAATATGATTATTAAGCTCTTTTCATATTCTATATGTATCCATATATACCAGGCATTTATTTTTCACAGATTGACAATGCCGTAGAGGTAGCTATATGTATAGGTATGTAGATATATAGATATTCACCTATATTTTCATACTTTATAGACACTCTATAGAATTGTCGGTTTAAAAATTATGAAATCAATTATGTAATCAAGCATACATGTGACCTATCAACAAATTTATTCAGAATCCTAAATCCTAGCATTTAATTATAATGATAGGTAATCAAGGAAAAAAAATGTTTTCCGTATCTGTGAGTAATGAACGTTGTCTTGGATGATTTCCTTAGAAAACATATTTTATGAGTTATCCCACTAAAAAAAATGGCAAAAACATCTATTTCTTACATTAAAAACCCAGTAGAAACCAAGGGTTTTTGTTTTGTTTTCTTTTCTTTTTTGGCTCATATTTATTATTGCCGATTTTACACCTCTCAGGGAAATGTTGGGCATCTTTGGATGAATCCTCTCTGAACACTCTGGTCCAGATGCTTAAAACAGCTATCATCTCTCAAATGAATCATTGGACTGAACACAGTCAGAGTCACCATAATGTTAAAGTTCTTCTAGAAATGATGAAAAAAGTATATAAGGTAAGGGTTCATTTACATTTAAAGGAATAT